TACGAACCAGCGTCCAGGTTTCTTAAATGCGGAAATCGTACGGGAACTGTTGTTTCAACGTGTTATGGCCGTGAGCGTTATAGAAAAGACTGAGAGAAATCACGTCACGTTGACTGAAATCAAGATGCCTGGTAGAGATCGATAATATTACAGACCCTTCTTTATTATATAACATTGTATTTTATCTCACTATCATGAATTAACAGTAAATAAACCAGTAATTTATGGTAGAACAGCAACTCTTCCTACACTAATTATGGGGAAGGAAAGATTTAAGTTTTTAAGTTTGGCCGCGAGAGGTTAATATATATATATGCACATTTTTATTTATTTATTTGTTCATACATGGCCTTACATTTATATACATACAGGTCCCGCTTAGTCTGGGTCCTTATTTTCGACCTTGGCAGTAGCGTCGAGAACGAGGGCCCAAACTAAGCGCGACTAGCTCCAAAGAACCCAATGGTGGAACAAGCGGATGACGATTACATCATGTCGACGGTTGAACTAATGGAGGAAGTGGACTACGTATGAGTGTTATGCTACAGAAGGTGCCACTCGCAACTATAACAGGCAGGCATAGTTCGTTGCATTTTCATAACTGGATTCTGCATGTCTCATTCCATATGTACCGCAGAGGGAGATCAGGAAATCAAGTTCGTAAGTCACTTCCTGTGAAGTTATGGTCCCTCTTAAACACATTCACAAACCTTCTTCTACTCTGATTTTCTTTCATCTGCAACCAAAACTTGCGAAATCAAACGGCGATCGGGAATGGATGACTGGAGCAGGTTTTGATAAAACTAGAATTTTCTAGTGTTGAACCTGAACGCTGGTGGACAATTTTGTCATCAACGCCATCTTCATAAAGGTAGCGATCAACAAAGAAGAAATTAAATTCTTGGACACCATATAAAGCCGATGATGATATATGAGTTCATTGTGGGAGTAAGATATAAAACCAATCTGGAATTAATGTGGCTTGATATGGAAAATGACAATTATCACATCAAATTTATTTTTTATAACTGTTATCATCGTTACAGTTAACTGCTTCTCTCACTAACGAATCGACCGATACAAGCCCAGATAGATATGAATAAAATTTCAGGAATAAGTTTCACAATTAAATGCGGGTTTTTGCGAGAATTACTTTCCAGTAGAACAATCGTTATCCAGGCTACAGAGAAATTCCTTACTCTTTATGTACTTACAAATTTTTCAAGCTGTTTCCCTTAGATCTTTTGTTTGATATCAACATAGTTTGTTGGATTGTGCTTGGTAATTGGTTTTCAAAGAACTTACATCTTCCGAAAATTTTTAACACCTGAAATATCGGGGCGGAGGGGGGTGGTCTTGGTGAACACGAAGTTCAATGGTCGAAATTCCTGTAAATCTGGTTATCATCCAGTATGTTTATGCTTACATGTAATGAGCCTGAAGATAAAAAAGCTGTTAGATGATGACACGAAGAATACGACGTTTATATTAGCGATAAAACAGGGAATAGCATATCAACGAAACAAGAGGCGGAGGTATAGAATAATTAGATTATGATGTTTTCTTTGGTGATATAGCCAGTTTATCACCTTTACTATTAAGTACTCTTATATCTTAAATCCACAATAACAGTTGCTATTAGTGGTTTCTAGGAGATACAAGATACCTTCTCCTGCTAATTGCTCAAGGTGTCTAATTTATCCTACCAATGAAGACGAGATTTACAAGTCGATCCTTGGCGGCTGTAACTCTTTCTCTGATGAATGTCTCCCACAATGTTAATTCCATTGTAACTCACGACGCTAAAGGACACATCACATTTTAACACCGATTCCCGTACGACCACGGAAATTAAGCAATTTCAACCCTGTCAGTACCTGACAGTACCTTAGGTGTGTGTGTGTGTGTGTTTGTTTAGTGGGATATCGACTCCTTATGGGGCATGAAATGCCGAAATTTAATTTTCTTGGAAGCATTTGTAATTTTCTTTACAAAAATCTATTGCTGTTATTTTTTCTTTAAAAAATGTATTGCTGGTAATTTTGTATTATTTTTTACAGAAATTTATTGTTGGTAATTTTTATTTTTAATTTATTCCTGGTATTTTTTCTTCAAGAATGTATTGCTGATAATTTTCTTAATATGAAAATGCATTGCTAGGAGTTCCACTATCACAAATGTATTTTCTATAATTGGGGCACCTCGGCGTGCTCTAATGGTTAGTAAGCTTGTCTTGCTAGAACATATTACGATTGAGTATTGAGTTCGTTCCTCACTGGGTGCTCCATATTTCCGACCTTGTGCCACATCTAAGCAGCCCTTAGAAAATAATTAGGGCACCTCGGCGTGGTGTAATGGTTAGCAAGCTTGTCTCACTAGAACAATTACGACTGAGTAGTGAGTTTGATCCTCACTGGGAGTCCCATACTTTCGGCCTTGTGCCACATCTAAGCTACGCTTGGAAAATCTCAATGTATTTCTATAATTTCATAGAGTTTTGACCCCAGTTTAGTTTGATTTACTTTTATTTTGTTTTACGTCATATCGGTCACAGTAGGTTATTTAATGCCGACAAAATTTTGAGGATAGGTTCGTGTCGATAGAATATGTATTCTTTGTAAGAAATTAGCTTGTATATTAGTTGTCATTGGCATATTTTTGAAAAGAAATTTTTTGTCGAGAGTGACATGTGTTGCTGGTAATATTTTCTTTTCAATAATTAATTTCTGGTAATATGTTTTTTTCTTCAAATGAACTTTACTCGAAGGTACCTAGACTTTATGAATTTAAGCGTAGTAGAAGATTGGCGGCAAGGTCTCATCATTTTATCGTTGAAAGGTCGAGATTTAGCCATGAGATTATGCTAATAATTTCTTCTTTGATTGTGCAAGTCTCTTCTGTTTTCCGTCTTTCCAGTCTGCTTTGATCTTCAAACATTTAAATGCAATATCAGTCGTTAATTTCTGTCTTCTTATATTTCTGTGTTTCTATTGTTCTCTTTCCTTAATGTTGTTTCTTTTCATATATTCTCTACCCATTGAATTTTAGTGGCTTTATTGCTTTGCTTGGGGTGAAATGATTTAAAAAATTAAAAAAATACATGCTCGTCATAAATATATGCACCATGTTTCTTCATGTGTTCTGACATTTCTACACGCCAGAAAACTGGAAATCACATTCACCAGCAGCGGCTATAAATATCACCATTTATTGAAAATCTATAGAAATAGCGCTCCTTACAGAGGCTATAAATGTGCAATATTTTCCGTAGTATCTAAATAATTACACGATTATGAGTAGCTTCTGTCCTATCCACTGTTCGACAACAAAGAGGCCTCTCACAGCCGGTCCTAAGAGATTAAAATAATTAATGTTTATGGAGTAAATATTTTCAGATCGAAATGTCATTAAGCTGTAGTATTGATTCTTCTTCTCCCCACAAGATTTAACCGCCAACATTTCTGTCTATTGGTGTAAACAACCAACGCGGTACAAAAAGATGCGTCTCTATTTCGTTTAATTCGGTGTCATCCAAGAACTGGAAAAAGTCCGTTGTAAGCGCACAAGAAAAAAGAAAGCTGAAAACAAACTCCACAGCGAGAAAAATAACTCGAACAGTGTTTCCAATATATTCACGACTTCGCTTGCTCAGTCTGGGTTGGTAGAAAATTAGATGAAGTGATGTTAGAAGTATGGATTCTTCCACCTGTCCATCTCAAAAACACGACAGGTAGCTGGTAACATGAACCAGAGGCACCAGAACTATCCAGGAACAGTCTTTTCTCTACCGAGCGCTAGAAACCACCTCAATCCCAACTGTGTTTATGAATATAAGCCTGTGTCCGGAATTCATCTATGTCCGGTTTTTTGTCGCTTGATGTCACAAGATCTCATTTCGTTATTTATATTTTTCTCTTTCTGTCAAGAGAGTGTTCCTTAGGGAGCCCGTCATCGGGTCATAAATCCCGAAACACATGAGATCAAAACAATGTCTCACACAATGTCTCTCTATGGGAATGTCCCATATATATATAGTCATATCAAAGGGAAAAAAATTGCAAGCAAAAACGAAACTGACGTATATAGCGGGCAAATGTAGAATTAAGTAGCAGCTCTTTAAAAGTGAATTCGTCAAGAAAATCTGCTCGTATAGTGGATATAAGTCGAGCAAGACTCTTCACAGTAGTGACGGAAATCATTATTGCTGCGTACAAGTCGAGTTTTCAAGTCCAAACTTTTCAAAATTAGAGATCGATTTATATGACGGGTATACAATACAAACCATGACAACCGAGTAGTAAAAAACTGGGACAACACTCCTAACAATTACTCTACATCACTTGCCGTACCTCAAGCCGGCTGCCTAAAATATACCCCACTAAAGGTTGTGTTTGGTGAACATATTTGGCATATTAGGACAGAAATTAATATAACATAAAAAAATAGTAACACAAATTTAGTATTCTATTAACGCTTCAGCACATATCGAATTTTATTTTTCTTCTGTGAATTTTGTAGAAGCTCCATTTAGCATGATGCAGGAAGTAATTTAGGAAGATTTTAAAAGAGTTTTCAATATATATTTTCTCATCGAACAGGAATACTTTCAAAGAGATCTTAATTAGCTCAGATGTCTAAAATATAACATATTTATTTATAAATTGGATGCAGCGATTTGCTCAAAGTGGGCAAAATTTGAAATCAAGCAGAGGTTAGTAACTTCAATACAATAAATGTCAAAACTCTCAGTACAAATTTTGAACAAGATTTTTATTAACTTCGTCTCTTATTCCAGGCTGCAGAGGTTTACACTAAGTGGCAAAACCCTTTGCTGGTAAAGTATTCTATCTTGTTATACTATCTCCATATTGAATATTAAACGTGAGTTTGAGTCAAAATATCACACAATATGTCTTGGTCAATACCTCCATTCTTGAATTAATTTCACCTTGAAGCTTCTTCTTTTTTTAAATCGATGTGAACATGTTAATTTAGATAGGTTAGAATATAGACAGATAGATGCATATATACATAAGAGTATAATAGATAGATGGATAAATAGATAGATGCAAGCATACATATGAATAGCCAGAATAGAATAGAATAGAATAGATAGATAGATAGATAGATAGATAGATGCAAGCGTATATAGGAACACAATAGAATAGAAAAGTACAGACATATTGCTAGAGGAATGCATAAATATGAATATAATTGATAGATAAATAGTCAGAGAAACAGATGCTAGCATGCGTATGAATATAATAGATTGATATGCAGACAGATAGATGGATGCATGCATATTAATATAATAGATAGATTCAAGCATAAATATGAACAAACTAGAATGGAATAGAATAAAAGAAATAGATAGATAGATAGATAGATAGATAGATAGATGCGAATATTAGAATGCAGATAGATTAGAACATAGAAATATATGTACAGGCATAGATAGATAGATAGATAGATAGATAGATAGATAGATAGATAGATGTGAACATGAGAATGAAGATAGATTAGAACATAGAAATATAGGTACAGGCATACATATGAATATAGATAGATAGATAGATAGATAGATAGATAGATAGAGAAATGCAAGTATACAAAATAACACAATAGAATAGAATGGTACAGAACAAATAGATGCATGCATACATATGAACACAATAGATGGATAAATAGATAGATGCCAGTAAACATAGGAACACAAACGTATAGATAGATAGATAGATAGATAGATAGATAGATAGATAGATAGATATCAGTGTTAATCTAAATAAGCTCGCAACAAAATTAATACTAAATAAAATTGTAAAGGCAATACATTTTTAATCAATCTGTTTTTAATACTATCTGACAGTAACGAGATATTAATATAATCTTTAAAAAAAGTTATCAATAGTTATTGGCTCTTGTTTGATGAACATAATCTCAGGATATTTTGATTGATTGATCAGCAGTTTAGTTGTTTGGGCAGACAAACTGCGCGGGAAAAGAAAATTTACACTTGCACACTTTACCTCAGTTGATAAACTCGTGTCATTCTCACATCATGCTGCCAGTTCTAATCTATCAGTAGTGTAAAAAGGATGTTGCATATAAAAAGATTATTTTATTACAAAAGGCATATTTCTGGCGTTTGAGAGATTCGGGTTAAAACTTTTACTGCAGGTGGCAGCAAAAGGCAAAAGATTCGTGATTTGATTTATTCTTGCGAGAGAGATAAGAAGCAAAATGTACGAAACATCTTTAATTAAATCTGTATAGTTATAAATAAAAAAAAATTAAACAAATGTTTAAGCGATCTTGGTATACACAGATTAAGAACAATGATATTCATCTGTGTGTCGATCTGCGTGTATGTCTGTCCCTCGCTTTATCTATCTATCTATCTATCTATCTATCTATCTATCTATCTATCTATATATCATACCTATTGTGGTCATATGTATTCATGCATCTATCCTATTGTGTTCATATATATGTATGCATTTATCTATCTATCCAATAGTGTTCATATGTATAAATGAATATATGCATCTATCTATCTATCTATCTATCTATCTATCTATCTATCTATCTATCTATCTATCTATATATATATAGATAGATAGATAGATAAAAATACACATGCACTTGAGAGAATATATATATATATATATATATCTTTCCTATTGCGTTTATATGTATGCATGCATGCATGTATCTATCTATCTATCTATCTATCTATCTATCTATCTATCTATACTTTTTGTGTACATATGTATGCATGCATCCTCGATGTATTTATACTACTGTGTTTGTATGCATGCAAGCATCTATCTATCTATCTATCTATCTATCTATCTATCTATCTATCTATCCTATTGCGTTTATATGTATGCATGCATCTATCTATCTATCTATCTATCCTTTTTGTGTACATGTGTATGCATGTATCCATCGATGTATTTATACTACTGTGTTTGTATGTAAGCAAGCATCTATCTATCTATCTATCTATCTATCTATCTATCTATCTATCTATCTATCGTGTTCATATGTATGCATGCATTTATCTATTCAATATACTTACGTATAAATGAATATATACATCTATCTATGTATCTATCTTGCTATCTATTTATATTTATATATATTCTCTTGCGTGCATGAGTATTTTTAGACATCTATCTATCCTAATCAGTTGACATGTATGCATGCAACTATCTTTCTATCGATCGATCTATTGTATTCATATGCATCCATGCACGTAGCTATCTATTCGATTGTGTCCATATATATGCATGTATATATCTATTCTATTTCATATACTTAATTGCATTATTTATTTATACCATTGTATCTATCTATCTATTCTATTGTGTTCATATATAATCATACGTCTATCCTCTTCTATTTTGCTCATATGTATATATGCATTTATCTATCTAAGCATTGTTTTATCTATCTATTCTATTGTGTGCATATGTATGCATGCATCTATGTACTTATTCTATTATGTACATATGTATGTATGTATGTATGTATATATATAGCTCTCTCTCTATCTATATATGTATCTGTCTCTTTACTTATTTACCTCTGTATCACTCTTTAACTATCCTATTTTGTTCATATGTACGCATCTATCTATCTGTGTGTCTATTCTATTCTATTATTTTCTGTCTATCTAACTATACTCTTCTGCTCATATGTATGTATCCATCTATCTATCTATTCTCTTATGTTCATATGTGTACATTGATCTCTCTTTCTATACTATTGTGTTCATATGTTTTCATGCATATATCTATCTATTTTGTTCATATGTATGCATGTATCTCTATCTATCTATCTATCTATCTATCTATCTATCTATCTATCTATCTATCTATCTATCTATCTATCTAATTCTGTTCATGATCTAATTCTGTTCATGATCTATCTATCTATCTATCTATCTATCTATCTATCTATCTATCTATCTATCTATCTATCTATGTCAGTCTGTTCAGAATATCTCTCCATATATCTATCATGTTCCTAACTGCCTACATTCGCATGATCACATCTAGCTAGCTGATCGGATCTGTCTGTCTGCCTTTCTTTCTTTCTTTCTTTCTTTTCTTTCTTTCTTTCTTTCTTTCTTTGTATATTTTCAGATCTATCTATCTATCTGTTTATATATATATATATATATATATATATATATATATATAGACGAAATGTATGACGGAGTGGAAAAACTTTACTTGTGACGGGATTCTGACTAAATGACCTGTTCGTATGACTGCACATGCGTTCGAAAGATGGATGCTAAAATTTTAAGCATTTTTCGTATAATATTTATTTTCGGATTTGTACTATCTATCTATCTATCTATCTATCTATTTTTTCGTATCTATCTATCTCTTCCTATCTATCTATTGCTGCAAGCAATAAAGAGCTAGACGCACTCTAAATAGTCCCCCACGATATTCTGTAACATTAATGTGGATGAGGGATATTTTGTACCCTCCTTATACAAATAGTTCATATTTAGGCAGAAAAAAAATCAAAACTTCAAAAGTTTTGACATATATACTAAGGTATGTTGAACTATTATTATGTTAGAACCTGTGAAATCTTGCATCCATTAATTTCAGCTCTTCTTATTAATAACTATATTGTGTCCTAGCAGATAAACTGACAACTGACTGTTGAAAGAAAACTTTAAATGTAACTGATAGCGACTTGTCTTGAAAATGTACACAATTTGGTATCGGACTGTTAAAAAGTAAGTGCCAAAAAAATCGTTTAGCCCCTAAGGGCATTCATGCTGACAGCCTTGCTACATTAAGTGCCGACGCTCCAGTGTTATCAATGGTGCAAAAGTGAGTAGCTGTATTTAGGAGGGAAAGGGAGAATCTTGAAGATGACCAAACGTCTAGATGTCCTGAAACTGCCATAGGAAATCATTGATCGTCTTCAGCACATGGTGATAGGCGACAGGCGATTGACTATAAATCAAATAGCCAATGCGATTAGTGTATACCGTGAGTGCGTTGATAATATTCTCTACAATAAACTTGGTATAACCAACGTTTTTACACGTTGGGTGCCACGTCTTCTGACACTTGTGCAAAAGCACACCAGACTGATCGAATTACGGGAAAAAGCTGATATTATTTCAAGCAGATTCAGCCGGTTTCCTTGAGCATTTAGACTCATCCCTCTGGGTCAGAGATATAGAGACAACCTATGCAGTGGAACTGTAAAATGTGTTGTGTTTATTGACGATCTTCTAAAGGCTCACATCATCAATGGAGAGTATTATAGTAACTTCTTGAGGCAGGTATGAAAAACTATCAGACCAAACACCCGGGTCTTGTTTCTTCAGGACAATGCTCCAGCAAACAAGCCCTTGGTTTCAATGTCTGCTGGGCGTCACTGTTGTTTTGAACTGGTTGATCACCCTCCCTATTCTCCTGGTTTGGCTATCATCTGTTTCCGTGAGAAAACAGATGATAGTTTTTCTCGTTCTTCTACTGAGTAATTTTTTTTCTATTTGGTAACATTGATAGTGGATCTCTTGTTGCGCATTCAAGGAATCATCTGTTTCCGTTAGAAAACAGATGATAGTCAAATAGGGCCAAATGTAAAAATGAAAAAAAAATACTTATAATGACGTCATATCTATTGTTGATGACTTCTTGATCAAGAGAGTGACCTGATCCCAGCTGCATCATGGATAGAAGCAGTATATATTTGCAATTAGGCTATGTTGAAAAATAAACGTCATTTGGACATCCATGGGAGTATCTTTGGCAGCCGACTGGCGTATATATCATCATCTTTAAATTGTTTTTTTTTTTTTACTTAAATAAGCATTACACACAAACAAACACACATATACATATATACATACGTAGACACACACATACATTCAACACACGCAACACACGCAGAAGCTTGATAGAGTAATGGGTCGAAGAATCGGAGAGCTGTGTTCGAATTCGAATTCCAGTTGTGTTTGATACATTCACTTACTGAGAAGGGCCATTTCAGGTGCTTCTGGTAAACTATTTGCATCCATTCACTGTATTCGCATCTTGGTGGGTTCTACACAAACATATAATCAAATTGTTTGGGCGACTTGTCTAGCTGTTTGGTTTTAAGTTGCTATCCGCTCATACATCGACGGGATACATATTAAGACTATTTGGTGTATGTATGTGTTTATGCATGTGTGTGTGTGTGCGTGTGTGTGTGTGCGCGTGTGTGCGCGTGTGTAACTATATATATATATATATATATATATATATATATATATAATTCAACTTCTTTAAATGTAAGTGTATATACATACGCTAATGTTTATGTGCATTTGCCAGTGCTTGGATAATGGCGAGACAAAAGATCACATCTTCATTTCATTGCTTGAGAATGTCTTTGGAAACAGTCTACAGTGTATTCAGCTGTTTATTGCTAGCAATCAGTCAAGTGTAGGACTTCGTTTACATGCCTTAGGAAAAATTTAGTTGCTTGAAAATTGGATTCCACATGATTTTACAGAAAGAAACGCTTCCCGCGTTTGTCTTTATTTTCATGTTCGACGCACAAGACAGTCTGTAGCATTGAATATTCAAGGCGAACAAAATCGTGTCTAGACTTACGACAGCTTTCTTTCTTTCTTCGTTTTTCTCGTTCTTCTACTGGGTAATTTTTTTTTTCTATTTGGTAACATTGATAGTGGATCTCTTGTTGCGCATTCAGGAATATATATATATATATATATATATATATATATATATATATATATATATATATATATATATATATATATTTAAAAAATAAGATTCCATCACAACATAAGACTTTTCATGTTTCAATAAATAATTAAAATAAATAATTATATTTATGCTCTACAGTACTATTTTTAAAAATAATAAAAATACTAAAGAACTTTGGATTATTTACTTAACGAGTTCTTTCCTATTTTCTATATATTTTTACACACACACACACACACACATATATATATATATATATATATATATCGGTTTAACAGCAAAAATTGTCCAAAATGTGTAACATCTCACAAACTTTTTAACCACTAAACTAAATGAATTTCGTTTTTCCAGGTTTTCAAATAAGACGTTTAGAC